GAGGGGACACATGCTGATGAAGAAGAGACATGAAGAAGAGGGACACATGCTGATGAAGAGAGACATGAAGACAGATGAAGAAGAGGGGACACATGTTGATGAAGAAAGAGGACATGAAGAAGAGGGGACACATGTTGATGAAGAAGAGACATGAAGAAGAGGGGACACCATGTTTGATGAAGAAGAGACATGAAGAAGAGGGGACACAGGCTGATGAAGAAGAGACATGAAGAAGAGGGGACACATGCTGATGAAGAAGAGACATGAAGAAGACGGGGACACATGTGATGAAGAAGAGACATGAAGAGATGGGGACACATGTTGATGTAGAAGAGACATGAAGAAGAGGGGACACATGTTGATGTAGAAGAGACATGAAGAAGAGGGAACACATGTTGATGAAGAAGAGACATGAAGAAGAGGGGACACATGTTGATGAAGAAGAGACATGAAGAAGAGGGGACACATGTTGATGTAGAAGAGACATGAAGAAGAGGGACACATGTTGATGAAGAAGAGACATGAAGAAGAGGGGACACATGTTGATGAAGAAGAGACATGAAGAAGAGGGGACACATGTTGATGAAGAAGAGACATGAAGAAGAGGGGACACATGTTGATGTAGAAGAGACATGAAGAAGAGGGGACACATGTTGATGTAGAAGAGACATGAAGAAGAGGGGACACATGTTGATGTGGAAGAGACATGAAGAAGAGGGGACACATGTTGATGTAGAAGAGACATGAAGAAGAGGGGACACATGTTGATGTAGAAGAGACATGAAGAAGAGGGGACACATGTTGATGTAGAAGAGACATGAAGAAGAGGGGACACATGTTGATGTAGAAGAGACATGAAGAAGAGGGGACACATGGTGATGTAGAAGAGACATGAAGAAGAGAGGACACATGCTGATGTAGAAGAGACATGAAGAAGAGGGGACACATGTTGATGTAGAAGAGACATGAAGAAGTGGATTTTGCATAATAGGTGACCTTTAAAGTCAGTTTCTTTCGTGTATCCCTATACACGGAGGAAACTGAATTGAAAGGTCACCGATTGGCTGTATTGATTGGAGGTCTCACCAGGGTGCGGGTCTTCTCGCGGCTCCGGCTCCTGCGGTGGTAGCCCCTGCTCTCAGCCAGCAGAAGGGCCAGAGGGGGGTCCTCTCTGCGCTCCCTGGGCCTCTTACTGCCCGACGGACTGCTCTCCCTCTGACGCTTCATCCTCTGCTGCTGGGGCACTGACAGAAACAATATACTGGGTTTTATTATAAGTACGTTTTTATAAGAATGAATACCTATTTTGTTAACATAATGTCATGGTTCCAGCAGGATTAGTGAAACAGGCCGGGAAATGTACATGCATGTGTAAAAGGCCTTATTTTAGGAAACAGTCAATTTTAGAAAACAATGTGTATTTTTGTTCAGTTAAGTACGTTTTTATCCTTATTTTATCAACATAATATCATGGTGCCAGCAGGGTTAGTTAACAGGACATGTATACTATATAAAAAGGCCTTGTTTTAGAAAACAGTCAATTTTAGAAAACAAATATGAGTATTTTAATTACGTTTTTATCCTTAATGTATTAACATAATGTCATGGTTCCAGCAGGGTTAGTTAACAGGACGGGAAATGTACATGTATACTATATAAAAGGCCTTATTTCAGAAAACAGTCATTTTTAGAAAACAATTACGTGTATTTTTGTTCAGATAAGTACTTTTTTATCCTTATTTTATCAACATAATGTCATGGTTTCCAGCAGGGTTAGTAAAGAAAAGCACACTCCAGATAAATACTGTTTACTGTGTTTAGAAAACGATCAGTTTTAGGACAAAATAAACAATAATGTTGACAGTTTTATCTTCATCAGTAGGTTTTTATCAGAGTGTATTTATATCTATGTAATAATCATAAGGGTTTACCCGGTGGTGGAGCAGCTCACTTCCAGCAGGGAGAGGGGAACACGACGGAAACACACTGCAGCAGCTGAAGGCTAAATAAATAATGTTTACTGTGCAAAACGCCTAACTGTAGACAAACAACCACTTTTAGGGAAACAATAAACAATAATGTCTCCTGTTTTTCTTCTAAGAACGTTGTATTAGAGTCTATTTATCCCTATTTTAAAAACATAATGGAATGTTCCAGCAGTACGGGGAAAACGCTCGCGATCACCGCGGGAATCCGGGCAGTTTGTAGATAAGAGAATCCGGTTAACGGTTCCTCTAATCTGTGGTTATTAGAGTCTTTTTCATCCCGGTTAGAAGAACATAGTGTGAAGGCCGGCGGTGGGGTTCAAACTTCCCGGTGCCCTCGGGACGGGAATCGGACTTCCAACAGCTTAGTGAGCGCGACGCGGATCCGGGAAGCACGCGCTATCTCCGCACGCGAGATACTGGAACAGTTGTCGATATAAAAATCGTAAAATCCGTTAAAAACATTTCAGCCCGGGAGGATCTGCACCCTACGCCGCCATCTTGGACAATAGGAATGTGCGCTTTCCCCGAGGAGGAGAGAGAGGGGAAGGGGGGGGGGGGGGTGACGTAACGTAACGTGACGTCATGACGTTTTATTTTAAATTCTCAGAATTCGTTTATTATTAATCACAACAACACGGCAACACTGTTCTAAACATTAATAACAAGAAGGTTATCAAAACTAAAAGTGTATTTGATAAATATTTTATTTTGCTTTGCCTGACTGGGGGGGTGACGCGTGACGTAGCGTGACGTCATGACGCAAAACGCTTTATTGTATTTCAGGATGAAGACGTTTTTTTTTTAAAGTGATGGATTTGATTAGATTTTTCCAACAAATTTTAAGTTTGGGGAACATTTCTGTTCAACAAGAAGAATTGGACTGACTAAACCAAATGGTTATTACATCCATATGGCACAATATTTAAATAAATATTGTACTGCTCTTTCCCTGTTTACACTTTCTTCCACCTTTAAAGATTTAAAGATTTGAATTCCTGTACACAATTTCCCAATTTGGGATCAATAAAGTACCTATCTAATTTATTTTTGACATCGGACAAAATAAATAAACATGTTTCAACATTTAGATTTTTTTCTCAGATCTACAAATAAAAAATGTCCCTCATCCTCTTCCATAGATTTCTTTTGGCAATGAAAACATATATTGTGCCTTATAGGAAGACTAGCAGAATATATTATTACATTCAGTATGTAGTGTCTCTACTTTAAAGAGTCCTCTCCTGCTGATGTTCAGGTGTATATCAGTATGTAGTGTCTCTGCTTTAAAGAGTCCTCTCCTGCTGATGTTCAGGTGTATATCAGTATGTAGTGTCTCTGCTTTAAAGAGTCCTCTCCTGCTGATGTTCAGGTGTATATCAGTATGTAGTGTCTCTACTTTAGGTAACGTCTCCTCTATATTTTAAATATGTAAACCCTTTAAGTCTCGTCAGCAAATGAAATCACGCTCTCCTTTTTTCACATTTTAATGAAAAAGTAGAATCGTACAGCGGTAACAAACGACAGGTAAATGTGAAACGGCACATTTTGAGTTCCTGTATATCGAACAAACCCTTTATCACCGTTCACTTACATTAAATATGGACCCCTTACTGCAACATGTGTATATTATTTAGCAGTATTTACCTTCAGGAAAAACATAACCGTACAGTTTGTAATGTTCATTAGTGCGGTCAAATGTTAAGGAGCAATATTTAAACCCCCTGGTCTATTTTCTATCTTAATTATTATATTTAAACAATCCTATGATCCAAGTCCTGGTTGGACGACACCACAGGACAAACAAACACCCAAATAAACAGTACACAAAGAAATCCTTACTAATAATGATGTATTACTGGTAAGATGAATACAATAAATGTGCTTTAACAAAAGTCACCCACACTCCTCTGAATATGTAAAGTGCCTAAATGGGAAAAGCTCTTCAATGCGTATTAAACTGGTACGAAATTCACCAAAATTGCCCCGAAAAAAAGCACCCGATTCTCCTAAGTATTCCTCATGAAGCACAGATGCTGCTTTGCTGCACATACATATCATTTCCATTATCGATTCACCTGCAGAATATTTGCTAAACTGGTCAATAAAATGTCAGGAAAATCTGTCTTGTCTATGTCTTGGAACCCCTGCTGCTGGGCCCCGGAGACCCCATAAATGGAGGAGGACACGGAGATGTTGGGCAGAGACAGAGACAGAGACAGAGACAGAGACAGAGACAGAGACAGAGAGAGAGAGAAGGAGAGAGAGAGAAGGAGAGAGAAGGAGAGGAGAGAGACAGGTGAGAGGGAAGAGAGACAGGAGAGAGGGACAGACAGGTGAGAGGGACAGGTGAGAGAGAGACAGGTGAGAGAGAGACAGGTGAGAGAGAGACAGGTGAGAGACACAGGTGAGAGAGACAGGTGAGAGAGACAGGTGAGAGACAGGTGAGAGAGAGACAGGTGAGACACACAGATGAGAGACACACAGATGAGAGACAGACAGGTGAGAGACACAGGTGAGAGAGAGACAGGTGAGAGACACACAGATGAGAGACAGACAGGTGAGAGACAGGAGACAGACAGGTGAGAGACACACAGATGAGAGAGACAGGTGAGAGAGAGACAGGTGAGAGACACACAGATGAGAGACAGACAGGTGAGAGACAGGAGACAGACAGGTGAGAGAGAGACAGGTGAGAGACAGGTGAGAGACACACAGGTGAGAGACAGGAGACAGACAGGTGAGAGACAGGTGAGAGACAGACAGGTGAGAGACAGGAGACAGACAGGTGAACACCGAGTCTCAAAAACCCAGAAATAATCACGTTAAAATGATATTTAACGACAACAGAGCATTTTCTCACGTGGTGTATGAACAGTTATTAAACTGCTAAAGAACGTCTCGGTTGAAGCGGTTTTTAAATTTGCAGCTTTTTGGGCTGTTTTGACACCAATAAAGTGTGGGGGGGGGGGGGGGGGGTTGTCCTGACGATACAGAAATGAGGAGATAAACAAGTTCACACGTCTCTTTTTTTAATAATAATGGCACATTTAGTTTGACCCCCAGGGTGGAATATGGGTGACTTTAGTCTGTCAATGAAAACACAATGGATGTTCAGAGAGAGAGCAGGTGAGGGTCTACAGGAAAGGCCTGAGGGTCTACAGGAAAGGCCTGAGGGTCTACAGGAGAGGCCTGAGGGTCTACAGGAGAGGCCTGAGGGTCTATATCAAAGGCCTGAGGGTCTATATCCTAAAGCACATTTACATTGAAGCTGCTGTAAAGAGTCCTCCTGCACACATCGGACCACCGTCCAAATGGCCTCCAAAGAACAGCGCGATGAGGAAGACTCTCCATCCTCACACTGGGTTCGAATGACGGAGGAAGAGCAGCGACGTAATGGGAGCTCCTTGGCGTTTAGATCTGGTGCTGCAGTGGATTGTGGGTAGTGGGACTTCTTTCACTTTAAACATATAAACCGTCTGACATATTTTCACCGGCTCAGTCGACGGTCCCTTTAATTCAGACGGTAAGTCATTTCTTAAAGCTTTAGTTCACGCTTAATAACTTATCTTGGTGAATAGGAGATTGGGAGAGGAGCTGTGCACACATGGTGGAGAAACTCAAACTGCACTAAAGCCACGTATTAATGCTCCGTTTGGAGATTTTCTGGGAGAATGAGTCACGTTTTGAGCGTTTTAGCCGAACAATATGTTGTTTTGGTTTCATTCGAATAACATCATTTTAAATGTTCTATCAGGCTAAAGGACTTCTTATTCAAACAAACTATTTAAAGTAGGGCTTTTTCACAAATATTTAAGGAGATAACAATCGATTTGTGCACTAAAGCCACGTATTAATGCTCCATTTGTGAGATTTGATGGGAGAATACGTCACGTTTTGAGCGTTTTAGTCGACTAATAGGTTGTTTTGGTTTCATTCGAATAGTATTTCTTAAGCTGTAAAGTCATTTTAAAATGTTCTATCAGGCTAAAGGACGTCTTATTCAAACAAACTATTTAAAGTAGGGCTTTTGCACAAATATTTAAGGAGATAACCAAATATTGCACAAAATCCTCTTGTCGACCAAGTGTTGGTTTCATTCTCAGCTGAGTCGGATTTATTTAGTCAATCAGTCGTTTTTCATGCTCAATGACATATTCCCATGAATCTTATGGGCATTAATGGCAAACAGAAGACTGTAATTGTGCTATTGCACAGTTTTTGGTGGAGAAACTATTTATTATTAATATTTATTAATGCACTGTGTGAGTATACGGACTTTCTTTTGAGAATACGTCACGTTTTGAACCTCTTAGTCGACCAAGTGTTGGTTTTAGTCTCAGCTGAGTCAGATTCATTTAGTCAATTAGTCGTTTTTCATTCTCTGAGATGTTTCCATGAATCTAACGGCTTTTTTGGTAATCAGAACATCGGTGCATTGAATATTGAAGGAGAAACTATTTAATTATTGGACAAAATACAATTGATCTATTAGAGTATACTGACTTTCTTTTGAGAATTTGTCACGTTTTGAACCTCTTAGTCGACTTATTGGTGGTTTAATTATTTATTTAGTCAATTAGTCGTATTTCACGCTCAATGACATATTTCCATTTGCTTTTTTGGTAGCTAGAACATCGGTGCATTGATATTGAAGGTGAAACTCCACTAAATGATGGGTTCAGTTTGAGTTTAGGGCAGCTCTCCCAAAGCTCTCAGTCCCCTTTCATCAGAGCTCTGAATCAGTGTACCAGATGATTTTTAAAAAGACAGAGACAGACATGTGGGACAAAACTCTTGCTCCTCCTCTTCCTCCAAATGAAGTCCAAAGCTGTGCGTCCCTCCGGCTACAGGTCAGTCCGTGCCTGAGCGGCTGCAGGCGCGTGTTTGGGCATCAACTCGGTGATCTTTCGGATGAAGTCGGACTTCTCAGCGCAGCCTTTGCAGGTCTCATCCCACTCCTCCAGGATCTTCTTCAGGTCCTTCACCTTCAGCTTCTTCAGGTCCACCGAGGTCAGGTCCAGCTGTTTGTCTGCAGGGGGGTTAAGGGGTTATCTTTAGTATATATCGGTTCTGCCGCCCTCCCGTAGACAGTTCACGAGCTCAGTCACTTCATAACACCAAAGATGGGTCGCGGTAAACGCTCTAAAGTGAGGCTCCACTACACTGAAACAGAAAAAGACGAGGCTAAGTGTAATGCCTGATAAGAACCGGAATCGATCAATTTCAAACGATACCCATCCCTAGTGATAATGTATGTACCCATCGATTCTGTGTCACCTCACGATGTGAATCGATGTGTTGGATGTGGTGAAAAGATAAATAATAAGGTTTTGTGAGTGAGTTTCGGTGCAGTAATGTGTTAGCATTTTTCGCTCGTTGCTAATTCAGAGGCTCAGCGTTAGCATTGTGGGTTTTATTTTTAGAAAATAAAATACAAATGATCAGATAGATGAGTTTCTTCCCGTTACATGGATATAAAACATTCATAGTTTATTAAATATTAAGATGCCCTCAGACACTGTTTCCTCAGATGACGCGTTTTCCCCCCGGTATCGGGCTTAACAGGTTAATGATATTTTACTGTACAACTTTATTTTATATAAATGTTTGTATTTTATTCTTACTTTGTGTTCAAATGTTTTTTTTTTTTTTTTTGTTTTTTTTTTTTTTTTTAATTGGACATTTAAGTTTAAAATCTTTTGTATTTCTTTTTTCTTTGCAAATTGTAACTCTTTATTTGACCTTCATTTCTTATACGTTTGTCTTATTTTCACATAAATATCTTTATCTTACATTCTTATATTTATATAACTGTTTTAATTATATTTTATTGTACAACTTCTCCTTGGTATATAAATATTTGCATTTTACTTTTCTGTTTCACTTTCTTATCTTTAACACCTTTTGGTCCTTTAAATATATGTTTTGAACCCATAAGGACCCACAGGCGTCACATGACCCCACGGGCGTCACATGACCTTTAAATTTTCGGAAAGTTCCGTAGCCTTGTTTTTATCTCATGAAGTCCCTGAGTGACACACCCTGAGCAGTCTGCCGGGTCATGGGCCGGGTCATGTGACTTTGTGTTCCCATGACAACATGTCCATGATGTGCCGGGCTAACACATGTGACATAACGAGCTACATTTCAAAACCTTTTTTTTTTTTTGTTGCTAAAGTTAAAATGCTTACATAACATGTCCCTTGTTACATTGAACCTGCTGTGGAAACATTTCTTGATCAAATTGATATGAGACAAACATCGCTGTGACACTGATCGGGACTTTAACCCTAAACTTCCACAGTGAACCCAAAGTGGCACAATTAGAAATATGATTATGATCTGCTGAGTTAATTTAGCTGATTCAATTATATTGAGTTAATATGTTCTTTATTCTTCAATTCAAAGAATGCTCAAACTAATTTAAACCAAAAAATCATCCTCGTTAATTAAGTTAAAAATAATTGTTACCATTAAAGCCCAATGTGACGTATATGGGTCACATTTCAGATATGTGACACTAGGGGGGAGAAATGTGTTCTAGGTGGTCTACTTAGTCTAAATTATGTTCCCCTTAATTTCCCCCAAAGTAGAAATGGGTCCGGGTTCTTATGGTAAATATTTAATAATTCTGGTCAAATGTATATCTGCAGCTCAGTTTGTAAAACTTTATTTTCTAAGTTCAGTCACAGTTTTTATTTCTGTGCAAACTTTGAACTATTTTTGTATTAGATGGTGATACAATTAACACTGTCCAATTAGCACGGTCCAATTAACACAATGAATGAATGTATAACTGGCTGCTTCTTCACCTTGTCACTGTTATAAAGCTGTTACCAATGTTATTTGTGACCATAGACATGCAGTGATTTTATGAATGTGTGCACGCCTCTTTATTTAATACGTTTACTCTAGGATTTCAGATTGATTGGATGTTCCACACCGTCGTTAGCTCTTAATGCTACATGCTACGTCCTCAGAAACAACGGAGCATGTGTTCCCCTCAGGGTTTGGATAACGTGTTTTTTAAATAACGCCCTCTTCTCACCATATCTGAGTTCACAGATCTGAGAGTCCTTCTTCTTCAGCTTCTCACAGATCTTCTCCACCGGCGCGTGGTAGCTCAGAGGTTTGGAAACCTCGTTCACGATCTTAGTGGCGGCGTCGCTCGTCGCCCCGATGTAGTAACACTGGAGGAGGAGAAAAGAGGAGGAGGAGAAAAGAGGAGGAGAAACGGGAGGAATTAGGGGGTTTTTTTTATCGCCTGAAACTCATCCATTGGTGGAGATGATGTATTTATTAGTAATCTGCAGTTGACTTACGAAGCGATTTTCTTTCCCTTTAGCATCTTTGCAGGTCTTTACGAGCGCTGTCTCGATGTCTGCGCTCTTGAAGTTGACGTTGTTGTCGTGCAGAGACTGGTAGAACTTCCCCAGGAAGGTCACACACACTGAAACACAGAGGAAACGTGAGTTAGACGAACACACACACACACACACTGAAACACAGAGGAAACGTGAGTTAGACGAACACACACACACTGAAACACAGAGGAAACGTGAGTTAGACGAACACACACACACAGAAACACAGAGGAAACGTGAGTTAGACGAACACACACACACTGAAACACAGAGGAAACGTGAGTTAGACGAACACACACACACACACTGAAACACAGAGGAAACGTGAGTTAGACGAACACACACACACTGAAACACAGAGGAAACGTGAGTTAGACGAACACACACACACAGAAACACAGAGGAAACGTGAGTTAGACGAACACACACACACACACACTGAAACACAGAGGAAACGTGAGTTAGACGAACACACACACACTGAAACACAGAGGAAACGTGAGTTAGACGAACACACACACACACACAGAAACACAGAGGAAACGTGAGTTAGACGAACACACACACACACTGAAACACAGAGGAAACGTGAGTTAGACGAACACACACACTGAAACACAGAGGAAACGTGAGTTAGACGAACACACACACACACACACACTGAAACACAGAGGAAACGTGAGTTAGACGAACACACACACACACGAAACACAGAGGAAACGTGAGTTAGACGAACACACACACTGAAACACAGAGGAAACGTGAGTTAGACGAACACACACACACACTGAAACACAGAGGAAACGTGAGTTAGACGAACACACACACACACAGAAACACAGAGGAAACGTGAGTTACACGAACACACACACACACACTGAAACACAGAGGAAACGTGAGTTAGACGAACACACACACACACTGAAACACAGAGGAAACGTGAGTTAGACGAACACACACACACTGAAACACAGAGGAAACGTGAGTTAGACGAACACACACACTGAAACACAGAGGAAACGTGAGATAGACTAACACACACACACTGAAACACAGAGGAAACGTGAGATAGACGAACACACACACACACTGAAACACAGAGGAAACGTGAGTTAGACGAACACACACACACTGAAACACAGAGGAAACGTGAGTTAGACGAACACACACACACTGAAACACAGAGGAAACGTGAGATAGACGAACACACACACACTGAAACACAGAGGAAACGTGAGATAGACGAACACACACACACTGAAACACAGAGGAAACGTGAGTTAGACGAACACACACACACTGAAACACAGAGGAAACGTGAGTTAGACGAACACACACACTGAAACACAGAGGAAACGTGAGTTAGACGAACACACACACACACTGAAACACAGAGGAAACGTGAGTTAGACGAACACACACACACTGAAACACAGAGGAAACGTGAGTTAGACGAACACACACACACTGAAACACAGAGGAAACGTGAGTTAGACGAACACACACACACACACACTGAAACACAGAGGAAACGTGAGTTAGACGAACACACACACACACTGAAACACAGAGGAAACGTGAGTTAGACGAACACACACACACACTGAAACACAGAGGAAACGTGAGTTAGACGAACACACACACACACTGAAACACAGAGGAAACGTGAGTTAGACGAACACACACACACACACACTGAAACACAGAGGAAACGTGAGTTAGACGAACACACACACACACACACTGAAACACAGAGGAAACGTGAGTTAGACGAACACACACACACACTGAAACACAGAGGAAACGTGAGTTAGACGAACACACACACTGAAACACAGAGGAAACGTGAGTTAGACGAACACACACACTGAAAACACAGAGGAAACGTGAGTTAGACGAACACACACACACTGAAACACAGAGGAAACGTGAGTTAGACGAACACACACACACTGAAACACAGAGGAACCGTGAGTTAGACGAACACACACACACTGAAACACAGAGGAAACGTGAGTTAGACGAACACACACACACTGAAACACAGAGGAACCGTGAGTTAGACGAACACACACACACAGAAACACAGAGGAACCGTGAGTTAGACGAACACACACACACACTGAAACACAGAGGAACCGTGAGTTAGACGAACACACACACACACTGAAACACAGAGGAAACGTGAGTTAGACGAACACACACACACTGAAACACAGAGGAAACGTGAGTTAGACGAACACACACACACACTGAAACACAGAGGAAACGTGAGTTAGACGAACACACACACACTGAAACACAGAGGAAAACGTGAGTAGACGAACACACACACACTGAAACACAGAGGAAACGTGAGATAGACGAACACACACACACTGAAACACAGAGGAAACGTGAGTTAGACGAACACACACACACTGAAACACAGAGGAAACGTGAGTTAGACGAACACACACACACTGAAACACAGAGGAAACGTGAGTTAGACGAACACACACACACACTGAAACACAGAGGAAACGTGAGTTAGACGAACACACACACACCACTGAAACACAGAGGAAACGTGAGTTAGACGAACACACACACACACAGAAACACAGACGAAACGTGAGTTAGACGAACACACAACACACTGAAACACAGAGGAAACGTGAGTTAGACGAACACACACACACTGAAACACAGAGGAAACGTGAGTTAGACGAACACACACACACACACACTGAAACACAGAGGAAACGTGAGTTAGACGAACACACACACACACTGAAACACAGAGGAAACGTGAGTTAGACGAACACACACACACACACACTGAAACACAGAGGAAACGTGAGTTAGACGAACACACACACACACACACACTGAAACACAGAGGAAACGTGAGTTAGACGAACACACACACACACACACTGAAACACAGAGGAAACGTGAGTTAGACGAACACACACACACACACTGAAACACAGAGGAAACGTGAGTTAGACGAACACACACACACACTGAAACACAGAGGAAACGTGAGTTAGACGAACCACACACCACACACTGAAACACAGAGGAAACGTGAGTTAGACGAACACACACACACACACTGAAACACAGAGGAAACGTGAGTTAGACGAACAACACACCACACACTGAAACACAGAGGAAACGTGAGTTAGACGAAACACACACACACCACTGAAACACAGAGGAAAGTGAGTTAGACGAACACACCACACACACTTGAACACAGAGGAAACGTGAGTTAGACGAACACCACACACAATGAAACACAGAGGAAACGTGAGTTAGACGAACACACACACACTGAAACACAGAGGAAACGTGAGTAGACGAACCACCACACACTGAACCACAGAGGAAACGTGAGTTAGACGAACACACACACACACTGAAACACAGAGGAAACGTGAGTTAGACGAACACACACACACACTGAAACACAGAGGAACCGTGAGTTAGACGAACACACACACACTGAAACACAGAGGAACCGTGAGTTAGACGAACACACACACACTGAAACACAGAGGAACCGTGAGTTAGACGAACCGTGAGTTAGACGAACACACACACACACTGAAACACAGAGGAAACGTGAGTTAGACGAACACACACACACTGAAACACAGAGGAAACGTGAGTTAGACGAACACACACACACTGAAACACAGAGGAAACGTGAGTTAGACGAACACACACACACACTGAAACACAGAGGAAACGTGAGTTAGACGAACACACACACACACTGAAACACAGAGGAAACGTGAGTTAGACGAACACACACACACTGAAACACAGAGGAACGTGAGTTAGACGAACACACACACACTGAAACACAGAGGAAACGTGAGTTAGACGAACACACACACACTGAAACACAGAGGAAACGTGAGTTAGACGAACACACACACACACTGAAACACAGAGGAAACGTGAGTTAGACGAACACACACACTGAAACACAGAGGAACCGTGAGTTAGACGAACACACACACTGAAACACAGAGGAAACGTGAGTTAGACGAACACACACACACACTGAAACACAGAGGGAAACGTGAGTTAGACGAACACACACACACACTGAAACACAGAGGAAACGTGAGTTAGACGAACACACACACACACTGAAACACAGAGGAACGTGAGTTAGACGAACACACACACAACTGAAACACAGAGGAAACGTGAGTTAGACGAACACACACACACACTGAAACACAGAGGAAACGTGAGTGAGACGAAACACACACACTGAAACACAGAGGAAACGTGAGTTAGACGAAACACACACACACTGAAACACAGAGGAAACGTGAGTTAGACGAACACACACACACACACACTGAAACACAGAGGAAACGTGAGTTAGACGAACACACACACACACTGAAACACAGAGGAAACGTGAGTTAGACGAACACACACACACAGAAACACACTTATGTACAATGCCTTGTCGTTATGCTGCTGAAACGCAAAAAATGTCCAAATTGGGATCAATAAAGCACTTCTTATCTTGTCTTTATCTTGATGTCATGATTGTTTTTTTTACATTAGATCAGGTTACGTTTATTGATCAAAAGGGAAATGAAGGCATCCAGTAGCTTTCATGACGCAGAGCACGTGACCAGAACTACCAAAACATGTCTGAAAGAGACCTGAACAAATATCTGAAAGGTGTGTAAAAATGTCAAGAAAGATGTCCTGAACATTCGGGAAAAGTTGCAGAAATATATCCACAACAAATGTTAAAAATGTGTGTAAAGACCCTTAAAAATGACCAAACGTTATGAGAAAAGAATATGGGGATTGCAGGGTATAGAAATATTAGGGTTCACTCCAGAGGCAGTTTCTCTTCCACAAAAATAAAATAAAGTGTTTAAATTCTACAAAAACCACCTCATCTTCACCGGATATTCCTACACTTTACAGACAGCTGACACCTCTATAAATAGAAACGAATGGGAGGGATGAACCCCCCTGTCATGGTCTCACATGCAGAGCACACAGCACACACAGTGACATGTGTTCTCTGCTTTGAACCCATCCTAGCACCAGGAGTCTAGCACCAGGAGTCTAGCACCAGGAGTCTAGCACCAGGAGTCTAGCACCAGGAGTCTAGCACCAGGGGTCTAGCACCAGGAGTCTAGCACCAGGAGTCTAGCACCAGGAGTCTAGCACCAGGAGTCTAGCACCAGGAGTCTAGTACTAGGAGTCTAGTACCAGGAGTCTAGAACCAGGAGTCTAGAACCAGGAGTCTAGTTCTAGTACCAGGAGTCTAGTTCTAGGAGTCTAGCACTAGGAGTCTAGCACCAGGAGTCTAGTACCAGGAGTCTAGCACCAGGAGTCTAGCACCAGGAGTCTAGTACCAGGAGTCTAGCACCAGGAGTCTAGCACCAGGAGTCTAGCACCAGGAGTCTAGCACCAGGAGTCTAGTACCAGGAGTCTAGCACCAGGAGTCTAGTACCAGGGGTCTAGCACCAGGAGTCTAGTACCAGGAGTCTAGCACCAGGAGTCTAGTACCAGGAGTCTAGTTCTAGTACCAGGAGTCTAGTTCTAGTACCAGGAGTCTAGTTCTAGTACCAGGAGTCTAGCACCAGGAGTCTAGCACCAGGAGTCTAGCACCAGGAGTCTAGCACCAGGAGTCTAGCACCAGGAGTCTAGCACCAGGAGTCTAGTTCTAGTACCAGGAGTCTAGCACCAGGAGTCTAGTTCTAGTACCAGGAGTCTAGTACCAGGAGTCTAGCACCAGGAGTCTAGCACCAGGAGTCTAGTTCTAGCACCAGGAGTCTAGCACCAGGAGTCTAGTACCAGGAGTCTAGCACCAGGAGTCTAGCACCAGGAGTCTAGCACCAGGAGTCTAGCACCAGGAGTCTAGCACCAGGAGTCTAGCACCAGGAGTCTAGCACCAGGAGTCTAGTTCTAGTACCAGGAGTCTAGCACCAGGAGTCTAGCACCAGGAGTCTAGCACCAGGAGTCTAGCACCAGGAGTCTAGCACCAGGAGTCTAGTTCTAGCACTAGGAGTCTAGTACCAGGAGTCTAGCACCAGGAGTCTAGCACCAGGAGTCTAGCACCAGGAGTCTAGCACCAGGAGTCTAGCACCAGGAGCAGTGGGAGTGAGGGGGGAAGGGGGGTGTCCTGTGCCTTGCTCAAGGGCACCACGGCAGGGCAGGAGGTGAACTGGGACCTCTCCAAGTAGCAGTCCACACTCCATATTTAGGTCTAGTCAGGGACTTGAACCGGCGACCCCCTACTGACTGAGACACTGCCGGACGAAAGGAGACGAATGGCCCTTGTTGACAGCTATCTGACGGTGGAGTAAGCCATCAAAGCAAGCTCAGGTGTCTCATTTAAACATCTCTAGTAACTCAATACTGCTAGAAGTGAGTCTTAATATACTTTCTCTCTGTCAAAATGAGAGCAATTGAAACCCTGAAATCAGTGTAATGTGAAGTTTAAATGCATTTGTATTAAGAGTGAGTTATACAAGTGATTTTCATTTGAGCAGCAGCTGGGTTTAACACGATTAGAAAGGGTTGAATACAAGAGGAGAGCAGGTGAATCCTCACACACTGGTTTACAGCAAATAACATTTAAATGTAATTTATACAAGGCTTTGAATACTTAAAGATGCTGTAACATATAATGTAAATGTGATGGTGGACGAAATGCAAATGTAAGGCTAAAGTAAAGTTGTATTCTTCTTCTGTGGTGTCCCCTCTCCTGTAGTGTGTTTTATAGGTTTTAGTGCATGTAAACGGTCTGCAAAGGCTAACATCCCTGTGTTCCCTTAAAATTGAGTTTCTCTCCCACAAAAAAAATAAAAATTAATAGTACATAAATTCTAAAAAAACCGTCCCATCTTTACCTGATATTCCCACACTTTACAGACATGAATGGACATTGTAATATATAATAAATGTATAATAAAAGCTGACATTTATCTGATGTTGGAGTGAGCTATGCTAAGCTAACAGCTCGCAGCCAGGCTTACCTTCACACTCTCCTTCCTTCAGGGCTTCAGAAGAACCGGGATACAGACTGAGAACCAGGGCCAGCGACAGCCCGCTTAAACACAACATCTTCCGGCAGAAAATACCTGAAAACCCGCTGGTTTTAATGTCTAGAACCGCTGGAAGAAGACACCGTGTGAGAGACTCAGACGCAGCCGGTAAAATGATTGTGTTTTCCGGTGCTGCGTCACACTAACTCGCCCCGTCATTGGTCGAGAGGTCCCACGTTTTTTCTGTTCCTCCACGCATTCTCCTCTGATTGGTCGAAGCCAGAACGTTCCGGGCACAACGTCCAGTTGGCGCCGTCTGATTGGTCCACACAGTATTTCCACGTACAAATGTAAATAAGAAAATAAGAAACCAATTCTAATAAAGTGTATTAAATAAATAATATCAAAAGAAAGAAATACATAAACAAAGCATATTTATTCTTTAAAAAAAAAAATGTATAAAGTATATTAAATAAATGAATAATAATAAAGTATATTAAATAAATAAATACATCAAATACAAATAAACTACAACAAAAATAAATAAATTAATATATACAGTAAATAAAGTATATTAATTCAAAGGAAACATTGATCAGTTTTATGTAGATGTGTTCCCTTTGTTTCTGCTGTTGTGAATGTGTCTCTCCACGTGTCACCACTGGATGGCGCTGTTTCATTGTTTCTCTGGATGCTTAAAGTACACCTCTGAACTGTAGAGGAGTAGAACATGGAAATACTCAAGTAAAGTACCTCAAAAGTGTACTGAAATACAGTTCTTGGGTAAATGTACTTCTTACCATTTAAGGCTTTATTTTGAGATTCAATTTGATGCGTTTTAAGGAAAAGCAGGAAACCCTCATAATAAAGGGAAATACTCAAAGTACCTCAAAATGGTAGAATCAGAATGAGAGGGATGCTGGTCACACATGCAGAGCACACAGTGTCATGTGTTCTCTGCTTTTAACCCATTCTAGTACCAGGAGTCTAGTACCAGGAGCAGTGGGCAGCTATTGTACAGCGCCCCGGGAGCAATGGGAGTGAGGGGGGAAGGGGGATGTCCGGTGCCTTGCTCAAGGGCACCACGGCAAGGCAGGAGGTGAACTGGGACCTCTCCAAGTAGCAGTCCACACTCCATACTTTAAGTCTGTTCGGGGACTTGAACCAGCGACCCTACGGCTCCCAGTCCAAGCCCCTACTGACTGAGCCTTAAGTACTTGTGTAATTATACCTTTTTTAACATTGCACCGCTGATTACGAGTGCCTGTGAAGAAACGACGGCACATTTTCAAACAAAGCCAGTCTTTATTGAGTGAAATGAGACAACAGCACATCACACTTCTGCACCAAGAGCTTTGGCAACTGCATCTGTAAACTGAAAACTTAATTTAAAACGAAGCACACAGAGGAGGAGGAGGAGGAGGAGGAGGAGGAGGAGGAGGAGACGACAAAACTAATGAGACCAACATTTGTTTTCCTGTCAGTTTTAATGAAATGAGGAGGGGGCAAAATCACGCCTGATCCATCTTTCTTCTACTGACATTCCTCCGAGGCCAACACAAAAACTCTACTTTATATTTCCTTATTATTATTATATTATAATATAGTCTATTTTTCAGCTTAGTGAACCCGGACATGTTGAGGACCCCAAAGTTTTATGATATAAATGTATATTAGGGTCTTTAGGACATAGAAACTGCCGGATGCTAACCTGCATGGGTAATTAGCACTATTACCCCTCGATTCCACCGGGTCCGTCCGGCCTCCTCCGGCGTCATACCCGACCAGGCGCGTTTCAGAAGCATTTCTTTTTGTTGATTTGGGCATATTTCCTGGACAGGCTACTTTGTACAGACAAAGTTAATAATAACTGTAATATTCCAGTTATAAACGACATGAATCAAAGATGTGTTGCTGTATTTTAGTGGTAATGCATTCATCATCATAATTATTCTATATATATAATTTACACAGTGCCTGCAAACCGGAGGAGAACGCTGGCATTTCTCCTCCTACTTGAAAGACTACGGAGGGATAGGGTCTGCAAAATTAGTTTGTGTATGTGTATATATATATATATATATGTATGTATATATATATATATATATATATATATATATATATATATATGTGTATATATATATATATATGTGTATATATATATATATATATATATATATATATATATATATATATATATATATATATGTGTATATATATATATATATATATGCTATATATGCTCTGACCATTCCACTTCCTGCCTGCCCGACCTTTTGTTTTTAGGATTCATCCTAATTTTAGAGGAGCCCTGCGCCGAGCCGCTTCTGGGACGCTTCTGAGCCGTAACGCGCCGCGTGTGGTGGAATAGCACCCATTGACTAGAGTGGCCGCGATCGCCGCGGCGCAGCCGTAACGCGCCGCAGACGGACCCGGTGGAATCTAGGGGTTAGCATAAATTGCGTTAATTAGCCTATTATGCAAACAACAGTTAAAATATTTCTTGGCCGATTTCGACAGTTTTGTTGTGGTTTTGGAGGTCGTTGAGGAAGCAGACATCCTGTCATTTACAATACTGAGTTTTTTTTCTGTTGGCTTCTTTCTCAAAATCTAAAATTATGACTTTTTCTCAAAATCTCAACAATTATGACTTTCTCAAAATTATGACTTTCACAAAATCTGCTAAATTATGACTTTTTCACAAAATCTGCAAAATTCAGACTTTTTCTCTAAATTCAGACTTTTCCCCAAAATTATGACTTTTTCCCCAAATCTCAAAATTCCCACTTTTTCTCAAAAGGCTTTTTCTAATTCAATTTCAGACAATTTCGGGATCAAAAATGGCAGTTTTGAATCCCCTAAAACTGTAAAATCGACCCAAAATGTATCAAAGTCAGTCCACAGAGAACAGAAATATGTCCTCATTCTGGTTAAAACTGCTGTTTTTGATCCTGAAAATATCAGAAATGGATTCAGCATCCCCAATAACCTCCAAAACCACTCTTAAACTGTCCAATCTGCCAAGCCATTTTTTAAATATTGTCCCCATACTGTAGGCTATAATTCCAATGAACACAACTTATGCTAATTGTGCTAATGTCCCAACATCAACAGGTTAGCATCCAGCAGTTTCTATGTGCTGGAGACCCTACTCTGTACATTTCTATCATTAAACTTTGGGGTCTCAACATGTATGAGCTGCATCAGACTTTTTATTGTAATCATCTCTGCCATGAGAGACATCCTGTTAGTTATAAAGATTCACAAAATGCTACGTCTTTTAGCATTTGTAAGACATTTTAACACCACTTAAGGCTGTATTTTGAGATCCAATTTGATGACATTTAAGGAATCGCGGGAACCCTCGTAAACAACGGGAAGTGACGTCCCTCAAAACTGTACTAAAATCCTTCCTGATCCATCGTTCTATCCACTATACTGACATTCCTTCGACACAAAAACCTCCTTTACTTCACATTTCCTTAAGATATTATAATAGCATTTATTTTTTTAAGTGTACATCATCTCCGCCATGTGAGACATCCTCTTGGTTCTTATATTATAATTATAAAGAATCACAAAATGCTACTTCTTTTAGCATTTGTCAGACTTTTTAAAGATTAAATCAAGACATTTGAACATAAACAAAGGGAAGTTCAGATCATTCCTGTCCTGAGGCTGTCGACACAAAGACCTCCTTTACTTTACTTTTCCTTCTGATACAATAATAGTATTTATTTTTTCAAGTGTACATCATCTCCGCCATGTGAGACATCTTCTTGGGGATGTACAGATAATACTCCATGTATCCGGAAAGGTCCTCTATCGTGATGTCGTCCACGTAAACTCTCGCCTGCTCCGAACACGACCGCGCGGATCCAGACGAGGAAGAAGACGCCGCGCCGCCGCCGCTAACGATAGTTCTTTCGCACTCAGACGTGGCGTTTCGGAGCCCCGTGAAGGAATAAACCTCGACTCCCTGCCAGGTTTGAGACGGATCCCGACACCGACACGGAGACTCGGCAGCAGCGTTCCCGCTTTCCTTCCAAACGCAGGAGCAGGGAACTTCTGCCAGGCGCTCAGATAAAACCCGGAAATCCGCAGATCCAGAAACCCTCGCTCCTTCGCTGGCGCTTTTCTCCTCCTCGCTCGACTCCCCGGACGTTTCCTGCGCCTCAAACCCGGCACACGAGCCAAACACCAGAGGGGAGATGGGGTTAGGAGAGCCCGACGATGAGAGCTCTTTCTGGGCAGCAGAGGAGGCTGTGATCCCCTCTCCTGGAGGACGAGGCTCCGAGGGATCGGGCACAGCGAGGCGTTGTTGCTTCAGGCAGCCACTAGGGGGCGATACTGCCGCCGCCGCCGCCGCGCTGCAGTACGTGAACTTGGGCGGGTGGAGGATCGGGGATTTGGACCTTCGGCGGCGCTGCGTTCTGGAGGCTCCTCTGGAAGACTTCCTCATGCAGCTGAAGACAAGGCAAGGCAAGTTTATTTGTAGAGCCCCTTTCAACAAGAGGCAATTCAAAGTGCTTTACAAAAATAAAAGACATTAAGAAAATGGCATTTAAAAACCGTCATTAAAAAGCATAAGATCATAAAATAAACATTAAAAAAAGTTACAGTGCCGTTTAAGAAGTGAACATATCCATTAAAAGCAGCGGCAAAAAGAAAAGTCTTCAGCCTGGATTTAAAAGTAGTCAGAGTTGCAGCGGACCTCCAGGTTTCTGGGAGTTTGCTCCAGAAATTTGGAGCATAATAACTGAACGCTGCTTCTTCTAAAGACAGAGGATGATCGGAACATGTCTTTAAAAAGTATAGGCAGCACTTTGAGACAACTCTGCTGGATAACTGTAATGCACATTCTCTAAATATGTATATGGTGCAAAATGCAGCAGCACGGTCACATGACTTCACGTCACCACCGCTAAGCTAAAGGTGGCTAATGTTGGGCTATAAAGGAACTACAGCACGGTCACATGACTTCACGTCACCACCGCTAAGCTAAAGGTGGCTAATGTTGGGCTATAAAGGAACTACAGCACGGTCACATGACTTTACGTCACCACCGCTAAGCTAAAGGAGGCTAATGTTGGGCTATAAAGGAACTACAGCACGGTCACATGACTTCACGTCATCACCGCTAAGCTAAAGGTGGCTAATGTTGGGCTATGAAGGAACTACAGCACGGTCACATGACTTCACGTCACCACCGCTAAGCTAAAGGAAGCTAATGTTGGGCTATAAAGGAACTACAGCACGGTCACATGACTTCACGTCACCACCGCTAAGCTAAAGGAGGCTAATGTTGGGCTATAAAGGAACTACAGCACGGTCACATGACTTCACGTCACCACCGCTAAGCTAAAGGTGGCTAATGTTGGGCTATGAAGGAACTACAGCACGGTCACATGACTTCACGTCACCACCGCTAAGCTAAAGGAGGCTAATGTTGGGCTATAAAGGAACTACAGCACGGTCACATGACTTCACGTCACCACCGCTAAGCTAAAGGTGGCTAATGTTGGGCTATAAAGGAACTACAGCACGGTCACATGACTTCACGTCACCACCGCTAAGCTAAAGGAGGCTAATGTTGGGCTATAAAGGAACTACAGCACGGTCACATGACTTCACGTCACCACCGCTAAGCTAAAGGTGGCTAATGTTGGGCTATAAAGGAACGACAGCACGGTCACATGACTTCACGTCGCCACCGCTAAGCTAAAGGAGGCTAATGTTGGTCTATAAAGGAACTACAGCACGGTCACATGACTTTACGTCACCACCGCTAAGCTAAAGGAGGCTAATGTTGGGGTATAAAGGAACTACAGCACGGTCACATGACTTCACGTCACCACCGCTAAGCTAAAGGTGGCTAACGTTGGATGTGATGACCTTTAGTCGTCTCATTTAGTCACATCTCCTCAGCTCGTGTTAACCACAGACTGTATTTCAGTGTAAACTCACCCGTGCCAGTTGTCCTTGGGGCAGCTGAGTTTGGGTTTCGCTCCGCTCGGGTCCAGAGAGGGTCGAGATGCTCTGGGAGCCTCGCACACACTCACTGCTCCGGGTACACTGCAGAGAAGTAGAGGAAACATGTAAACATTACTAAAAACCACT